GATTCTTCGTGTGGTGTTATTGAATGATTCTTGCAGCGTTATTGGGGACTTATTGAGTTGTTCTGCAGGGGTTATTGAAGTAGAACCGCATAGGTTATTGGAGAGGTTCACCGCTCAGTGTTTATGAGGTGGTTCCGCTATAGCACACGTGGCAGCATATTACTAGAGTTCGAACGCAGAGCTGCTTCGCACTCCGTATGGAAAAAATTTTCACTTCAGCGAAGGAGAAGATGAGTTAAGCTCACGACGTTTTTGCAAAACTGTGTGATGCAGGGTTAGGCCCCCTGTCACGAATAAAAGAAAAAACCCTCGTGGTTTAGAATGCAGTTGCATGAAAGCACGAGTCAAACATCCAAAAACACACTTTCGCTTCAAAAATAAGTTTGAAATGTCGAAACAAACACATACTTATTGTGAAGTGGTTTTAACAGAAAAAAAGAGTGAACTATATTGAGATCTTTTCTCTTATAGTGAAAATTACAACTATCCAAGTTGTGCTAATCTTAGTAGTAGAGGAAGATCAACATTTGAAGTAATTTATATAAAGACAATCTTTTTACTTCGAGATAAGACAAAGGAACTATATATGGTGCAATCACAAACTTATGAGATTCCAAAGAAAGAAGATTTAGTTTGCAGGTTGAAGAAAAGCTTATAGAGCTTAAAAACAGACCCCAAGATAGTAGTACAAAATGATTGATAGGTTTATGTCAGACAATAAGCACAAAAAATGCTAGGACCATTATTATTTCATCAAAAACTTTTGGTGATTGCTATATCTTACTTTTTTTGAATGTGGATGACATGCTAATTGCAAGGGTAAATATGAAAAAATCATAGACTTAAAGAAACAATTATTAAAGAATTTTGAGCCAAGAAGATCCTCAAGATGAGAATCACTATGGATATATGTGCAAGTACAATAAAGTTATCTTAGGCAGTATGTTGAGAATGTCCTATAAAGGTACAACAAGAGTAGTCAGCAGATACATGAATAATCCAAGAAATCATCATTGGGAAGCGGTGAAATTGATTCTCAGATATTTGAGGGAAACAATCAATGAGCCATTTGCTTTGGATGTGTAGGGATTAGTCTAGTCTATAGGGACTTATAAATTCAAATATGATAGGAGTTTTAGACGATAGAAGAAGTACAATTTTTCAGACTGTAGAAGATTATTATATTTTCAATTGCATAAGCTAAATACATTGTTATCACCAAGACTAGCAAAGAGATGATTTGGTTGTAGAGCTATATGACAGAATTTGATAAGGAACAAAGGATTGAAAAGTTTCATAGTGATAATATGAATGATATTCATCTGACTAAGATTGTCGTTTGTCATGGCGGGAGAAAACATATTCAACTGAGGTATTACTTTCTTTATTTTTCTAGAGACAATGCTCATAATCATATAGATATGTTGATTAAGGTGGTGACAACTGAGAAACTGAAGTTTTGCTTTACTTAAGCGGGAGTCCAAGAAGGTTGAGACTGGAGGGGGTCACACTACAATACAAGGCCATGAAGATGGTCCAAAAACATATGCAAATCTAAAAGAGAGGAATTAAATATAATCAGTCTCCAAGTGGGAGATTGTAAGATTTGTCGAGTCTAATTGCACGTCGTCACCAAGCAGTTGCCGCCCATAAAGGGCGCATCCGCGCCTGGGCCTAAATGAGGTGGCGCCCCTACACCATATGGGAGTGCCTAGGCTCCAAACTTCCTTCAACAAACAAAGAATTGAAAGTTCAACGCCCATTTAGGGCATTGCAGTGCCACAATTTATGTCATTTACGAGTTTAGGAAGAGAGCACTTGAAATTCCAGCACCCAATTTGGTTAATATAAACAGAGCAAGCGGAAAGGCAACATTCATGAACAACGCTACGATGTCAGGAGAGATTTGCACGTAGTTGGGATTGAAGCCCTAATTTCACGAAGAATTTTGAACTCTCTATTTGGTGTATTTTGCGACGATGCATAAATGGAACAAAATTATATGGAACAAGTTGAGGGTTGATTTCAACTGTTGCTCTCTCAGGGGAACAAGAGTGAAAAGTGAGTGAATTTTTTGCAAGTTTCAATGATATATAGACTAAATTTAAATGATGCATTTATGTATTATTCTAGTTTCATAATGAAATATTTTGATTTGATGTGACTCCGTAATTTTTTAAAGTTCTCTAATTTTTTCACATAAAATCTTGATATTGACTTTCTCAATTTTCGTTATTCGCTTCTATTTAAATTTTGTTCCGAATTTCTTGAATCGCTACATTTTCCACGATGTAATTCTAGTTGTTAATCGATCAATTCTGATTTTCTCCGTCCCAACAACCATCCCCATTAAACAAGGTAGTAGTAGTCTTCTAAATACAGCATAAAAGTAAATCAATGTTGGTCATATGAACTTAACAAGATATATTGATTGCCAAATCCGTAGACATCATGATGGCGCAACAAAAACTCTTTTCATATAAGCCATTAAAAATAAGCAAAAAAAAAAAAAAGAAAAAAAAAAGGTTCCAAAAATCTAAAAAAATCAA